GAATGGGCATGCAGGATCCAGCCTCTCTGCAGGGCGAGGCACCTGCTGGACCCTCAGCCCCGCTGGGGTCACTCCTGCACAGCCTGGGATGGACATCACTGGGTAGGGCCCAAAGTGCCTGTCCCCCCACCCAAAGAGCCCCCAAGAACATCAGAATCTCAGTGCCAAGAGCCAAAGCAAGCGTCCCGCCTCCAGAACCCGCGCAGGACGTCCATCCTGGGGAGCGGCTGTCAGTGTGTGTGTGGACGTGGGCAGCCGGAAGCGCCTGGACCTGGGCCGGGGAGGAAGTCGAGACGCTGGAGGGCGGAGCTGCGGGCCTGCGTCCGTGGACACTTGCTGCCACCTGGTGCCACTGAGTGGCATTGCCGCTCGCGGCTGCTGGGCCTCCTGAGAGATCGGCCATCCTTCCAAGTCTGCCCCAGACCCCACCCAGCAGCCCACTAGCTGGACGCCCCTCCAGCACTCTGGGTGGCGTTCCTGTGCCCATGAGCTCATGGCACCCCCAGGCAAGTGGAGACGTCCGCCCCTGACCCTGTGGGTTCAGCTCTGCGTCCGGAACCCCCTTAGGCCCTGAAGCCCAGCCTTTCCAGCTCATCCTAGCTCGGGGTGGGGTGGGGGTGCTGGTGAACCCAGTCTGTTGTTCTCAACTTCTGTTTGGGGGAGGGCACCCCTGGTGGTGCGTCTCGTGTGGTTCCAGGGACCAGGATCGAACCCGAGTCAGCTGCGTGCGAGGCAAGCGCCTTACACGTTACACTATGTCTCTGATGTAAGTGTAGATTTCATGGCCACGAGAGCAAGGGGCTTCTCGGCAGAGTGGGGTCTGGGATCGGGAATGTTCCTCCTTGCAAGACCAGAGGGATGCTGGTCCCGCGTCTGCCAGCCCTTTGGCCTTGGAAGACAGCTTAGGGCTTGTATGTGTGGTCACTGGAGCGACAGCACAGCGGCAGGGCGTTTGCCTTGCATGCAGCCTTCCTGGCCGAGCCAAGTTCGATTCCTCCGCCCCTCTCGGAGAGCCCGGCAAGCTGCCGAGAGTATCTCGCCCGCACGGCAAAGCCTGGCAAGCTACCCGTGGTGTATTCGATATGCCAAACACAGTAACAAGTCTCAAAATGGAGACGTTACTGGGCTCGCTCGAGCAAACCGATGAACGGGAGGACAGTGCTACAGCACTAGAGTGGTCACTGCATCTTTCTTGCCCTGCTGCGGGATGTTGGTGAGCTGTGGTTGCCTCCTCCCCCCCCCCCCCACTGTCAGGGGAACCTTAAGAGAGAGTCCAACATGCCCCCCACCCCCCCGCAGAGAAAAGGCACTTTAACCCGCGATGGGCAGTTGTGTCAGGCCAAGGGCCTTCAGGGGCCCTGCTCTGGTGCAGCTTCCGGGTCCTGTGTTCCAACCTGATTTGCAGAGCCCCCCCAGGCCCCCTTTACCCCACTGCCCTTCCCAGCTGGGGGCTGCCTGCTGCCCTTTCAGGGGCTGCTCCTGGCTGTGAGCCTGCTTGGCTTGGGGGGAGCATTCTGCTCCTTGGCGGGAGCACTCTACTCCAGCTTCCCAGCTCCGGCACGTGACTCCTCCTGCCGCTGGGCCTGGAGCACTCTCCTTCCTGCAGGTTTGCGGGAGACCCTGGCACATGTCCCTGCTTTGTTCTGACGAGCATCTCCGTGCAGGTCGTGTGTCCACTGTTCCGTGTTCCTCTGCCTTCAGGAGAGCAGTGGGGCTGACCCCTGAGTCGTCTCCGGCCAGACCTAGAGAGCAGGGCCGGGGCAGCCTCACCGCGGTCTGCCGGCACGGACGTGCACGTGTGCAAGGACGCACCTCTGCACACACGCATGCCCACACCCCTGCACTTACACGGGCTGCTTCCTGCTTGCACACACACATGCAGGCGTGCCAGGGGGCCAGGGGGAGCTGGGCGACCACCAAAGGTAGGACCGACCCAGAGCTGATTGCCTTGGAGAGCCAGGGGGCTGGGTGGGATAGACGGGTGGTGGCACTGATGACCTGGACTTCTGCTCACCGGATGGACCATGGTGCCAAGGCCCACCTGGAGGTAGATGATGAGTTCTGATTGGGAATATTGAGTGAAGAGGCCTTCAAGGACCTGCAAGCCCAGGGGTATGGGGGTGCCGGGAGCCATCTGGGCTCATTTGAGGATGTGGGTGTGATGACCCAGGAGGGGAAGAAGGGGCGCTCCATGCACCCTTAGGACTCTGATATGTATGGTCACGATCACGATCACGATCACGATCACGATCACGATCACGATCACGACCATCCTGTTGTCCGTCGATTGCCTCGAGCAGGCACCAGTAACGTCTCCTTCATCCTAGCCCTGAGATTTTTAAAAAAGTGCCAAATTCAAGGCTCTTTCAGAGTTAGGAGAATGAGACCCTTCATTGTTACTGGTATTTGGCATATTGGGCACGCCACGGGGAGTTTGCCAGACTCTGCCATGTGGGCAGGCTACATTTGATAGCCTGCAAGATTGTCCAAAGTAGGAATG